TGGTGTATTTACCTTTCGTTGACGCTCCTCGCTCTCAGTCCAGTCGACCAACTCGTGAAATCGTCGCGTCACTAACTCGCCAACAACGTGCGCGCACAAATAATATACGACACCAAGTTGCCGATTTCTGCGCGGGCGCAGAAGCGCCGAAAGTACGCAGTGTGCTGTAAGCGCGAACGTAACGGAACCGATGCCAGCGACACTGACGCACAAAGCCGCCGCCGCGAGAACTCGCCCGCGAAAGTTTGAATCGCAACGATTGCGTTCGCAATGGAACAATGTTTTCATTATTGAGGTCACTCTACAATTGCGTAAGTGTGGTCGTGAATGCAAGAGATAACCAATCGGGGTGTTTTCTTCACTGATTGCTTTGTTCCGATTGGTTATCGTAATTATCTATAATCACTCACGACCACGTAATTACAGAATGGGCGCGGAAAAAGCGATCAATGAGCAATCAGCGATTACTGGTTCTTATCATGGACGTAAGAATACATGGACGGAGCAAATTGTCGCGGGAGTGAAGCTCAAAGGGTAAGGGAAATGAATGTATGTAATGTAATGGAGTTGCGATACTATATTGGCGATGGTCGCTGTTTTTATACATAGACAATAGATACAAAACTCCGACATGATCGCGACGATGTAATCCTTTTATCTCTTGGGCTTCACAGCCTCTCGTCTATAATCACACTTTTCGCTCCGTCCATGTATTCTTACGTCCATGGTTCTTACTGTTAAATCCCTAAATCTAAACTAATTACATTGATGAATTGCACAACTGTTGTGAACTGTTGAGTCTGCTGAATGCAGCCAATGGTCTTTCTTGTTTTCCTTCGCTTTTCGTCGAACGATATATGAACAATATCAACCGATATACAAATTTAGAAATGTAAGAAAAATTTATTTTTGAATGTATGTGTATCAGATCGTTGAACCAATAAAGACAAATATTCGCTGTGTTTCGTGAACGATACACGAAGTCTTAAGGATATCAGAATTAACTTTCAATATATATTTATATCGGATAGTAAATCTAAAAAATATATATTTGACGAACCTTCGTCCCTGTTCGTGTTTTCCGAACGATACCTGAATCGTCTTAGATATGTAAAAATAATTTATTTTTAAAATGTGTATCTGATTATAAAAGAAATAAAAATTATATTCTTGAGAAAAGTTTGTCTCTCTTTTTTTCAGTAAATGAATATTTATCTGATAAATAAAGCTTCATTCTCGATTTCTTTTATCCAATAATATTGTACAAACTGTTTTATATGTATACTTTACGTCGATTCCTTGCTACATTGTTTCTCTACATAATCGGTGACCATCTGCTGCACGTGAGCTACGGCCTCGGATGTACCGTACTTCTCCTCAAAACTAATGAACTTTTTGAACAGCGTTTTCATTTTTCTTACTGGGAGAGTTTGGGCAACTGCTCGTTCCAATACTTTTCTACAAGTACAAAAGTATATTATATTCAACGATCACATATTTACGCAGAATAAATATATAACGCCGAGATACGCACCTGGCTATGTCGAAATCCTCGGTTTTTACTAAGCAATCTACGTAAGAAGACCACACGTCGACGCGTTTAGGATAGGAGCTCAGGATCTGCTCGAATAATGTCTGCGATCGTTCCTTGTCTCCTAGTTTGTTCTCTAAATTCGCGAATCTCACTATCAAGTTTACATCTGCAGAGAAAATGCAAGCCATGAAAGACTCAAGTTATGTCACATTAGGAATATAATTTGTTGATCTTTGAGAGTAAAAAATAATATTCTAATAAAAATAATATCCTATTATATTATACCAAAACTGGAAAAGTTACTTTTCAAGTAACTCGTTATCGTTGCTCATTTCGGAAAAAAACTCCTTATTGTTATCATTATTCGAAAAGCAACAAATCGTTAGTTTCTGTATATATACTTGTACACATGCAAAGTAACAATGAGAGAGTAACCAGATAAGCATTACCCAAAAATATGATTACGTTATTGTAACGTTATTGTAATGAGGAAAAATAAAGCCATTATATCATAACACAACTTTATATCTTGATACTTATTAATTTTATGTAATGCAACGTGCACTCACGCTGAGACGTAGGCAAAGATTGCAATGCCCTTTGCATGGTATACCGCGACTTCTCCTTCAGTCCAATTTTCAGGAACGCTGTACCGCAGTCCACCCATGTCTCAGGGTTTTGCTTGAATTTGCCAGTCATAGTGGTGATCAACTTCTCCAGCTCGGCCTGCCTACCGGCGTCCACATGCACGTTCAGCATATGCGTGTATACCTTCGGTGCGTCGTTTGCCTTCACCGCCTCCTGGAAAACGTCGTTCAGAGACTCCGGCGTGCCGTACCTGGACTCCAAATTGAGCCAAGCGCTCCATAGGTTCAGACGCTCGTTTTCTTCACGGAAGTTGATTGTCTTTATAGCCCGTCTCGCGACTGACCTCGCTTTGTCGATCTCTGTGGCTTGCAAATGGTACGCCATATATTGCAGCCATACCAACGAGCTGTCCGGACTGGACAGAACTAGCCTGTCAAATTGGTCGATGGAGTTGGGTACCTCATTGCTCGCTAAAGCCTCTTCCCGCTGGCGAATCTCGCGTTCCTTCTGCCGTTCCTGTTCCCGACGTTCGGCTGCGCTCAGCTTCTTCTTCTTTCGCTTCGGCTCGTCCGTGGTCTCCTCTTCATCATCGCTGGACGTCTCGTTGACAGCTACTACAGCCGAGCTTGTTTTATTGTCCCAGTTAAACCCGCATTCTGGAATATGTGATTTTTTTGTGGTCGGCAACTTGTCTTCTGCATCGCTTTCGTCGGAAGAGTGGATGAGTCCGCTGGTCTCACTTTTCTTTGGATAGGCAGTTTTATCGATTTTACTTTTGAGTTTTCTATCGCTGCCAACACCATCATCAGTCGTCGTTTCTCTCTTTGGTTTCTTAAGCATCACGGTCGTTGAGGCACTATCTTGTTGCGCGGGCATTTTTCTCTTCAATTTTTTATTCGCGCTAGACAGCGGCTGTGTATCTTTTTTGGGAGTCTCGAACGCAGATTTCAGCATACCAATCGGAACGATGCCGCACTCATTTCTCGCCATTACCATGTACAATCGGATTTTAGCGTGCACCGTGTAAGGCGTCAAATCAGGAGAGAGATCGTTCAAGTGTCGACGGACCGGTAAAGCTACTAAGTATCCTGAACCGTGTCGTTTCACGAGGACGATTAGCAACCAGTTGGTGATCATCAGGATCTCTCCTCTCAGCACAAGCTTGTCAGGAAGCTCCGGTAGTTTTCTTTGCTTGGAGCTGATCCCGTTCACGATCCTTGGTAACAACGACACGTCCACGAAGTCGTGGACATAGTTCTTCCACAAAACTGTACCGAACACCTTGTCTCCGACTTTAGGCTCGACGGTGTAATGATCCTTGCGCACTACGCCCGTCAGCTTATTATCTAGTCGAAGTATGAGACCGTGGTCGGTGATCTTCTCGATCTCGCCTGTGACTTTATGACCCAAAGTCACCAAGGAAATCGGTTTGTTCTTGTAAAACGCATTAGTCGCCAGCTCCGACAATTTATTGAGGTATAAGCTCAAGACATCCACCGCCGACAGCATCTTCATCCCGTGCTCGACAGGGGTCTCCCACACGTCTTTCAACCCCATCGTCAGCGCCAGTTGTTTCTCTCGTTTGTTAATAGCCGTGATTTTAACGAGTAATATCTGATTCACACGCAACAGCTCGAAGTCGCTGATATTCTTGTATGAGATGAATCCGAATGTGGAGTAATCCTCGACGGGCAAGATAACTCTCACGCCGTCCTGCGAGATGTCCCTAATCGTGCACGGAATGCAATCCCCTATCTTCAGCGTGTGAAAGTTCCTGTACTGTTCCTGTGTCACATAAGTACGTGACATTATCACGCTCGGCTGTGTGGCGAAGACGTAGGCCGAGATGGTGTCGCCAGGAGTGCATTTCGACGCGAGTAGACCGCCGATTTCTATACACGGAGACATGTGACCGGCCGGTAAGAAGCCAATCGTGACCTCCTCATCGTCGGTCTTGCGTATTCTCAAGTGTATTCCTTCCATGGACGATTCCATAATTACTCCTTCGATCAGTTCCCCGATCTTCATGTTAACGGACTGTTGTTGCTTCTGTTCTCGTGTGATTATTCTGAGTTTCATTTTACCCTCGTCCTTCTCGATCGAGTTGATCAGCACCGTGACGGTCTGTCCCAATGTGTAATTCCAATTCATATCGGAAGTGTTGCTGTCCAATACAGTGCGCGGGACCCATCCTTTAATGTCGCCGTAGAATCTCACCAATAACCCGTTCTTGTTTATCTTAGTGATCGTACCGTGATATTCCTGTCCACATCGCGCCTCGCAGATATCGTGCAGAACTGGTAGCTCGCTCTTTATTAACGACTGCTTGAACGTGAACCTTATGTTGCGTTTATCGTTGTTAATACTTAAGACTCTCGCTTCGACGTTATCTTGGATTTGCAACATATTCAACACGTTTAAGCCACTGTCGGATACATGTTCCGGTACGACAATTCCGTAAATCTTTCCTGCTTGCACCTGTACGAAGCCAGACTTCGTGTCAACTCTTGTAACCTTGACAGTGAGAATATCACCGATTTTAAGGTCGCTGACTGAAAAGTATTTCTGCTGCAAAATTTCTTTCTCCATTGTACAGACATAAAGATGCTCCATCCAGTTATAAGAGATTATCCTGCATCTATGCACAGAATCTTGTTTAAAGTCTGTCGGGATTTTGTCAAATGGCACATCGGTTCTATGTAGAGAAATGAACCCGCGCAGATTAGATTTGGTCAACTTGAATATTATCCCGTTAGATTCCCTGTAAATACTTTGGCCTTTTTAATAATATCACCCACTTTCAGCCTCTCTTCTTCGGATATATCAGTTAGCAGACTGAAGTATGCAAATTTCACAGTCGGCATTACATACAATAATGTGCCGGTCACTTCTGTGTCATCCACATACTTAGATAAAGAACTGTCCAAGTAAATTTGATTTATGTATCCAATGTTATCTTTCCCAAACTTAACTTGCAAGCCATTCGAAAGCACTCTCGTTACGCGAAGTGACAATTTTGTTCCTGGCATTAGGACATCTAAAGATTCTATGTCGTGTATGCTGACACTGTTGACTATTTTCTTCTTAGCTGATAATGTGATAACAGAGACCTGATCTACTGTTTTTATCTCCTTGATGGCGCACATGATTTGATTACCTGGAACTGTACAATTTACAATATTAATACATTGAATAATATTATAAATTTGCTATACAAATTTAATTATACTTACAATATTCCTTCTCTTTGTTGATATACTTTGTAGCAAGGAATGCTCTAACATTAGCTATGCCTGTGTCAACCACATAGCCATGATCCTCTATACTCTTAACAGTACAAACTATCTTTATACCTTTCACAAGATAATTATTATCAACATTTTGATTTATTAACTGAGGCTCCAGAGATAAACTATATAGCCATTTTCCATTAGGATTCACACTTTTAACATAACATACTACATAATCACCGACATTGTACAAGTCTGGTAGAGATTTAAACTCATCGGTTTGAACATCCTTTGAGTTAATTATGTTCTGTAACAGGTTTGTGTAAGATTCACCAAGATCTGTGACTTGCACACATCCCAGAAGTCCACCTGGTATAGACACAATTAATTCGTATTCAGTTACTTCAGAAATCCGACCAAGAATTATCATTCCTTCACATATTGTTGCATTAGATAAACGTTTTGCAGTATTGGCAACAAAATTTGTTTCTTTCACAATTGTGTCACTATATTGTTTATTAGATTGACTTTTATGTTTTTTATTAGGTTTAAGCTTCTGATCAAATACCTAAGATAGAAATATTATTTTATTAATTATAATTACATAATTATATCTTTGTATACAAATTTTTGAAATTTTTACATAGAACACCAAAATTTTTTAATAAAAAACCAAAATATTATATTAGTTTTAAATATAAAAATCTTATATTAGTTTTAAATATAAAAATCTTATATTAGTTTTAAATATAAAAATCTTATATTAGTTTTAAATATAAAAATCTATATATATATAGAAACGGTTATTAATTTAACATCTTAAATCACATATAAAATAAAAACATGTAAAACAAGAATAAGTTTCTTAACATATACATACCACATTTGAAGATTTCTTAACTTCAAGTTTCTTTCCTCCTCTAGGAAAACTTTTCAATGTCATCTAAAAGTATTTTAAGTAATAATTAGATATTAATTAGAAAATAAAGAATGTTAATATAGATTAGGTTGTAATAAATTTGTTTCGATTGAGTTAATTAACGTTTGTTGTTTCAAAAAATTTCGAGGAACGTTATATTACTTAAAACTAAACACTAACCTTTACGATTAATGGGAAATAAACAAATATACAATAAAATTCGGTTGAATTAGCTACAAGAAGTTAGTGCATTGCACATAAATAAATGAACACGTGTAAACCACGTGCAAAGAAGCAGTGCTGCGAGTTCGGGCAGAGAGAAATCTGAGAGCGGCCACGCCATACGTTTTGGCCGACACCAATTTTCACGCTGTTCGATGCGCCATCTGCACCTATTTCTGAGATGGAATTACGTTCTCTACGCCCATTCTCAGACGCTGCCGGCAAAGTGTCGATTTGTTGTGTGTCCATTCTACACCCATTTTCTGGCGATCGTGTCTGTGTGAAGCGCATAATTGCGTGATTAAAAATAAAGACTGTCCAGAGGCGTTTTTTCGTGACCACGGTAGCGTTTGGTTGTTTAGTTTGGTCCACTTAACGCTCGCAAAGCCTTGAGCAACAAAGATAGAATGACGCTCGCGGCGTTGCGAGCGGTAAGTGAACCAAACTAACCAACCAAACGCTACCGTGGTCACGAAACGAAAAAACGCCTCATGTTCTTAGTCCGGGGGCGTCCCGATTGACCACGGTACGATTGGACACAACCAACCGATGAAAAGAATTATCTAGTGAATTACTAGGTCGAACCAATCATTACAATCTGTGTCCAATCGTGTATCGTGGTCAATCGGGTCCCACCCTCTTAGTCCGTAATCATGAACATAAAGCTCTATGCACAATGCCAGACAACAGGCAATAGAAATAGATATTAGCCAATAGAAACAGGAAATAGAAATAATTGACCAATCTGATTTCCTATTCCCTGTTCCTATTGCATGTTGCGTGGCATTATGCATAGAGCGTAAGAGATAATCAGTCGGAGTGTTTTATTCACTGATTGCTTTGTTCCGATTGGTGTCGTAATTATCTACAATCACTCACGATCACGTAATTACAGAATGGGCACGGAAAAAGCGATCAATAAGCAATCAGCGATTATTGGTTCTTATCATTGACATAAGAATACATGAACGGAGCGAATTGTCGCGGGGGTGAAGCCCAAAGAGTGAGGGAAATGACTGTATGTGTTGTAATTGAGTTGAGATACCATGATGGCGACTGTCGCTGTTCTTATACATAGACGATAGATACAAAACTCCGACACTAACATGATCGCGACGATGTAATCTTCTTATCTCTTGGGCTTCACAGCCCCTCTATAATCACACTTTTCGCTCCTTCCATGTATTCTTACGTCCATTGTTCTTACTGATAAATCCCTAAATCTAAACTAATTACATTGGGCGCATTCAGTAGAAAAAGCGCTCAGTGAGCAATCAACGATTATTGGTTCTTGCTATTAGATCCCTAAATCTAGACCAATTACATTGACAAATTACTCAACTGTTGTGCAACTGTTGAGTCTGCTGAATGCAGCCATAGACGAGTTGCCCAACTGTTGTGCAACTGTTGAGTCTGCTGAATGCAGCCAATGGTCTTTCTTGTTTTCCTTCGCTTTTCGTCGAACGATATTTGAACAACGATATACAAATTTAGAAATGTAAGAAAAATTTATTTTTGAATGTATATCAGATCGTTGAACCAATAGATCTTCGCTTTGTATCGTGAACGATACACGAAGTCTTAAGGATATCAGAATTAACATTCAACATGTATATTGGATAGTAAATCTAAAAAAACATATATTTGACGAACCTTTGTCCTTGTTCGTGTATTATGAACGATACACGAATTATCTTAGATATGTAAAATAATTTATTTTAAAAATGTGTATCTCAGATTGTAAAAGAAAAGAAAATTATATTCTTGAGAACTTTTGTCTCTCTTTTTTTCAATAAATAAAGATTTATCTGATAAATAAAGTTTCATTCTCGTTTTCTTTTATCTAATTATATTGTACAAACTATTTTATATGTAAACGTCGATTCCTTGCTATATTGTTTCTCTGCATAATCGGTGACCATCTGCTGTACGCGAGCTACGGT